GAAAAAGGGAGAAAGGAAGCTAAGGAAAGAAGGGAGGAATTGAGGGAGAGAGAAAAGGTGGAAGGAACGAAGAAAGAAAGCCGAGTAGATCTTTCCACATATGCAGCATTTATTGAAATGTCTGATAAGATACTAACCTTTGACAGTAATCTCAAACCGACATATCTCTCTGTTATTTTCTTTGTCTGTAGCTGAGTACACCACATAGTGTTTTCCTTTACCAAGTMTTGCTGGCGGGTCAATTCCTGTTATTGACTTCACAACAGGCAAATCATCCGCATTGTCTGACGCAATTGGTGGTGCCCAGTCCACTGTGGCAGATGTTTCTCCTGGGTCTGCGTACACTAGTATATTGCTTGGACATGATGTAAAGGTAGGGGGAAGGCCATCTGCAACAAATATACATACCGCTTCGCTGTACTTTTGGTGGTGATTAGCGATGTCGTTTTTTACTAGCGACGCAAGCGCAAGAGAAMGAAAGAGTTTGTTTTTCATGCGTTAGCTTTCGCATGTGCTTATGCTTGCGTCGGCTTGTGTCGCTAGTGATAACCAGGCTTAAAGGGCCGTTGWAGCCAAAATACCAGACGTTGGTCTCGTCTTGGTCGCGTAATAATGAAAAGGAGAATAATTTTAATTTAAAAATTACTGTTTACAAAACAAAACAAAAAACTCGTTATCGCTWATCACCACCGCAAGTACAGCAGTGCGCAGCTCAACGGGGTCRAACTGAAAGCATGTGAAGGCGCCTCTGGCAGCCGCTATGCAGTTCATGTTACATACCTGTGCAGGTAGGGCTTTCCGCTGACCACTTGCCGTTCATTTGACACAGTATTGAGGTGCTTCCACTTCTCAACGAATAGCCCTTTCTACAGCTAAACRAGCAGCGAGATCCATTTTGTCTGCCACAGTCCGGTGACACCAGGACAGCATTAGGCTTCGGGTTTGGTGGAGAACATTTTCCTACACGAAAACGTTATGCTTTGCGTCACAATTTTTTCCTATCATTTTTCCTTTCTTTGAGTAAACTGATGTTGAGCACGTGAAAAGCGGTAAATGGAAAATTCGAAATCTTTCCAATTTCCCTCTTCCCAGGGTCATGCACCTTAGCTCTCCGCGGTCTCCTCATCCAGGATGTCCAGGGAAATATACATATATATATATATACTGGCTTTAATATTTTTGGGAAAATATTTAGGATACTGACTTAATTGTTGATCTAACATTGACATTGATGTATTGCAATTTTTGGGTGGGGTGGTGCGTGTGTGTTTGGGGGGTGGGGGTATTGGTAGAATTATTCATAGTATGACTTAACTGTTGATATGATATTAAAATTACCATGGTTACAGAAATCCAGGTCAGTGCTGTTCGTTGTGGTTCCATCTGCGCATGTGCAAGTACGTCCACGTGGTGTTGGAAGACATAAGTAGGCACAGTCGCCATTAGATAAACTGCAGTTGTTGGTACCTGGAAGAAAAGAACCAAATTGATGAAATAGGAAAAGAAGAATKCAAAACAAGCAAAATTAAAAAAGGAAAAAAAGAAAGAAAAAAAATAGAAAAATATAAAAGCAATGAAATCAATAGCGTTTTCCAGCCAAGCCCAGCCCACATGCTAACATGCCGCTGCAACAATGTTTTGTAGTCTTGTTGTTTTCGATTCATGGAAGAACTATGTTTTTCCGATGATAATATTATTCTTTTTAGCCATGTAACAGAAGCCTTTATTTGTAATATTTGTCCGCTTTTAAATCCCACAAGGCTTGAAAAATATGCTATTGTCAAAGATCTGGGCCCGGTTGTACGAAGCCTGGATAGCGCTATCCAACGGATAAATCTTATCCAGTGGATACAATTGGATATCAGCATCGACTTATCCATTGGATAGTGCTATCCAGGCTCCGTACAACCGGGCCCTGTTTCTTCTACAGATATATCTTTTAAAGCTGCTAGCATATATTTTTTATCAGTAATAAAAAGCCTTCATTATAGCTTTAGCTTTTTTTTAAAGTAGTCTCACAGTGTCTTATACAAACCTTGATCAAAAGCATTTCGTTCGTAAGCATGGATTCCAAGTGGTTTTGCCACTCCCGATGTCAAATTTTCAACTCTTCCACTTTCARTTTCAACCTTTAGAATCTCTTTCATCTTTAAATCTGACCAGATGACATTCCCATCATACAATGCCAAACCAAATGGATGGATACTACTCTGTTGTAGTACAACCTTACGGTATCCTCCATCTAGATCACATTCTTCTATCCTATCAAGGCCAGCATCGACCCAGTAGAGCTTGGATTGCTTTTTGTCGATAGTTATTCCATTGGGCCAGACGAGGGACACGTTGAAGAGGGTTCTGCGATGAGTGCCATCCATGAAAGAAGACTCGATCTTTGGTCTCTTACCCCAGTCTGTCCAATACATCACTCTGTGAAAAATGTGTTTATTRAATACATTCCTCATTTTTCTTATTAAAAAACATAAAGGTCAAATTTTACCGAGTCAAAGGGTATAAACCAAACCTGAAACTCAACGAGAATTATACCAAGTGCGCAAGGTATATATGCGTTCAATTTCACCAACCATCCAACCCCCTTAAAATATCAKGAAATGTGCCCCCCTCCTTATACGCTACTTTTGGTTTGCGCTGTAACATTTCTCTTACCCGTTATCGCCGTGAATGGCAATYCCTCTTGGTTCGTCCAGATCTTCACTGATCAGTGTTTTCCTATAACTTCCATCTAACTTGCCAACCTCGATTCTATTGGCTCCACCATCTGTCCAGTAAAGGTTTCKTCCAGCATAGTCAATAGCCAGTCCTTCTGGCCTTACAATACCTTTTTTATAAATCACTTCGTATGACGTYGATAAGAATAAAACGCGGGCGATGTGCTTAGCCAGCAAGTCTGTCCAGTATAATCGGCTTTCAATAGGATCAAAGTCGATGGCTACTGGGTAATTGTTTCTGGTGTGTTGGTGGTATATTTTCCAGGTTTTATAGTTCTCTTTGGGGGCAATGATGTTGATTGTTCTGTAGCTATTATCCGTGAATAAGATGAGGTCGTTCACTACTGGCAAAATAATATATGTAAGCACCATAATGAGAAGAGTGCACAAAAGGCAGACAAACGTACGCACGGACAGCTAGACAGACAGACAAACAAATAGACAATCAAAATAGAGATGGAATAAAAGGAAGGAGAACTAAAAGAATTAAAGGTATATTTAAGGAAGAATGACGAAACGAATAAATAAGGTAGTGACAGACAAACAAATAGACAATCAAAATAGAGATGGAATAAAAGGAAGGAGAACCAAAGAAATTAAAGGTATATTTAAGGAAGAATGGCGAGAAACGAATAAATAAGGTAGTGGAAGAGAARTAAATAAAATTTAATGTGCTAGTGAGCAAATTAATAAACGAACAAACAAGGAAACCACGAACCTCTCTCGCATGTTTTCCCATCTACTGAAAGAGAGAAACCCGCTACGCATGCGCAATCATGTCCATAAGGAGTAAGCAGACACAGATCACTGCAGCCACCATTGTTTTCTTGACACTCGTTTCTGACTTAAAGATAAAAAATGGAATGAAATTTCCATGAACTTTCGAGGCACCCGGGACATTCGTGACATTATTGACATTCCTGGTTTTCAGCTTTAGACCGAGTCTCACGCCCTTACAACCACAGAGTCCTTTCATTCTTACTGCGCATGCGTATGTCGCGATCGAAAGTGAGTCTGGATTTKAAGTCGTTTTTTGCGTGCCTCCAATTCCCACACGTCCAAGACRATATATACASGACATGATTGAGAAMKACTCGATTAYTGTAAGACTAGGTTTGAATAACTTACACGAAGGCTGTAAGGAGCTGTCAAACACGGCAACGCCCATCCKTRTCCCGCTAATAGATAGCCTGTTTTGCAARGATCCYGTTTTCGTATCCATCTTGTTGAGCTCGGTTTTTGGATGCCAGTTGGTCCAGAACAACCAAGAACCAAACAGCGCCACTCCAAAGGGATGTATGCCACGACGATRAAAGATTTGCTTGCGATTATTGCCAGAGTAATCTGCTGACTCTATTTTATCTGTATCGGCATCAACCCAGTAGATTATTTTGGCTGTGAGGTCTAATGTTATCCCATTGGGCCATCCGATGGATGAACTKACGATCGTTTGACGGCTTTTGCCATTGAGATAAGCTCGCTCTATTCTKGGAYTKGAACCCCATTCAGTCCAAAACATCAATCTAGAAAATCAATAAAATATATTTTAGACGTTTGATTTGGATAGTTCACCACAAGGTATTGTCACATTTTCCATGAAAGCCACGCACGTTTTTATGGAGAGGAGCTAGAGGGTCCGGAGAGGCATGTTCCCCTAAAAAGTTTCTTTAAGTTTTCGGATATGCTATTTTGCGCATTTTTTGAGATGCACGGTGTGCGCGGCACCCGTTGACCTTCCTCGTCAATGGCCCAATAACTACAACCACTATTATTTTCAGTTGGGAAAAAAATATTTAAAATAGAGTTAAATTGAGGTAATCACCCAGACGATGGATCCAGAACTATTCCTCGTGGCTTGTCCAACTGACTAGTAACAAGAACTGTTCTTTTTGACCCGTCAAGTCTTGCTACTTCTATAGTATTTACGTTCGTGTCGCTCCAGTACAGAAGATCCGCAGTCCATTCCACGGCCAGTCCGTCACAAATACCAACAGTATTGTCAATAATGATTGATACGTTACTTCCATCTATGTTTGCTCTTTTTATATTCTTCTCGATTACGTCACTCCAAAATATGAACCTTCGGTTGACGTGGACGCCAATAGCGACCGCTCGTGTGAGCGTCTTGAAGACTGGTTTCGAGGAAGTGAAATCTGTGTTGACMGAGAGAATGTCTGTTGTGTTTGACACAAAGATGCATGGTTGACTGCAGCCTTGAACTGTGAACGATAAATAAAAAAGACAGTCTAGGTCAGGGCATGGCTCTNTTAATTGCTTGTTTGTGTAATTGCTCGTTCATTTGTTCTTTCGTTCGTTTGCTAGATCGGATATTTGTTCGTTTGTTTTAATTTTATTGTGGACGTTTTGGGCCATGTTTGAATAATAAGTATTATCATTATTATTATTATTATTATTATTATCATTATCATTATTATTATTATTATCATTATAACAGGGAAAGCTGTTCACATTCATTATAGAATTTCATATTTTAAACTCGCAAGCTGATTGGCTAGAGATGACACATACAAGATCAGGTCTTTTTCGTGAAATTCAACGTGGAATTSCGYTGGTAGMMAATAGCTTGTTRCGCGCTTACCTAAAGCGAAAAGGCAACACGTCACGAAAATCAATCCTTCCTGAATAAACATCCGAGATATTTTCAGTGATGTCTGAGCTAGGAAGAGAAAGAAGAAAAGACGTGAGTAGAAATTCCGGTTGGATTTGGAGCTATTCCAGACACCACAAGGAATCATAAATATACTTTAATACTGCTATTGTCAGGTAAATATATATTCATGGTCGTTAGCTGGGTCATAGTCCAAATACCAGCATTAGAAACTGTATCGACTTTGCACAGACGGTCGAGTTTTATAGATGTATTTAGTGCAAATGATTGTCAGATATTTGTTGAGAAAAGCCGTTTTTCTGTAAGCATGTACACCGAATGGAAACCATTATGGCKACCAATTTGAATAACAAAGCAGAATRTTRATAGGAAGATCCAAGCTGTGATGAGTAAAAACTATGTTCATGCACATATGTCAACATTACATCCATTTGGGTATCGATTTCTAACCATGCCAATATCAAGCCTACACAAAACTGATTTTATTTCTCAAAGGATCGGAGGACATTTCCATCGTATGTCCTACAACATGGCGGTCGTAAATTAACAGCCCTCTGTACTGACTTAATTCCTCATTTTCATAACGACATCGTAAATGGCTCCTTCAGTTTTAGTATCCCCAAAAAATATCACTATATAAAAAGTTTTCCATCAAAACTAGCATACAAAATAGCTTTTCCAATGAAAAACAAAATTACATACCACGTTCAGTTGTCCTATCTCGTACACTTGAAGTTACATCTTATGGAATGCACAATTCTCGCTGTCAGACAAAGTTAATTCGATAGTTTGTTTTTAAACTGTGCAAGGTTATTGAAATTTCAGATTATCTTAGACATTGACAGGGTCAAAAGGAGTGAGAAATTATCAAGGTACATCGAGAACACTTGCCTCAATTACCCTTAGGGATGTTTCGTTTTAAGTGGGAAAGGGGCCAAGGAACCTAGGGTATTCATTATGGGTCATCCAATTACACAGCCGACAGGGATCTATAATTTCAATTAATCAAAAGTTCTGACACTCTGTGAAGTAGATTGAGTTGGTTATGTACTTCTGGTGAGGGTCAGGAAAATATTTGTTCCTTTGTAGAAAGGAGAGATTCGTTAAAAATTTGTATGATAGTTTTCCTTTGGCCCTTCCCCTCTCCCATCTCCCCCTCCCCCTTCCCTCCCCCTTCCCCCTCCCTTCAGAAAGATGAAGACTACTTCTACTTCCTTGAACACTGTTTCAGATTGCAATAAGTAATAAATGGCAAAAGCTGTGGACAAAAGAGTAGGATTCAAATTTGCGCGTCATGTAAAAGAGAGTGTTGGGGACGGAAAGTACCAGATTTTGCGTCCATGCAAGTATTGTGCCCCTTCTCCAACCTCACGGGCTGTCACTGTGCCCCAGTGGGTAATTCAATAAATATTAAATACTTATTATCTTTATAGATCGATTAAATTACTCTTATTTTCCCATTAATATAGCGTTAATAAGACACTTTCGTGATCGTTTTGATGAATAAGAGGAATCAAGGAAAAAAGAGGCTACTCTCAGAGAAGAATGTGRATATTTTTGCATACGGAAGATGATATGATAGGCTTGGGTCAGTAGAGGTTGATCTGAACTAAGTGTTTAATGAATGTTATCTTTGAAATTATCTAGTGTTTGTCTTTACCTTTAAAATCCAGAATCCTTTGGCATGTCTCAGGGTAAGATACAATTCAGGTCTTATGGTATGAAATTTCCTTTCTTTTAGTCGTTTGCTCCGTCCTTCCTTGCTTCGTTCCTTGCTGCTTCACTGATTTCTTCTTTTCTAGCTTGCTTCCTTCCTAATAGACCTCTTCGTCTTGGAGTAATGTTTTSCCATTTCAGACCACGTGTCATTCCCTTGAGAATAAGATTCTTTGTTTGAGCTGTATCCATATTCATGTGTCTTTTCATGTGCAATCTAGCCGCAAACCTTAAACAAAGAAATGATACTCTAGGGAATGACATGTGGTATGTAATGGGAAAACATTACGTCAGAGCCAAGGAGCTCTATTCAAACTCCTAGCTTGCTTTTTTGCTTCCATTCAGTTTTCTTTTTTGTTGTTTTTCCCTTCCATTACTTTCATTTCCCCTTCTTCTTTTCTTCCTTTCTTCCTTGACCACTTCTTTTTCCAATTCTCTTTTCTYCCTTTCCTTTCTTTCTTCCTTCGTTTCTTTCGTTCTTTCTTTCATCCTCTTTTTCTTTCTGTCTCAATGAAGCTGATTTATTTTTACTTGGTGGTTTATCGGTGAGATCAAAACCGGCGGACCTTTATTTTTTCATCGCGAAAAGGGTGGCCGTTAGGCTGATGTCCTGTCGATKAATTCAACTACCACAGCGATAAAAATATCAAATTATAAATCTACAATAGAATCAAGATTATTATCTAAGAAATCTTATATTGCCAAGTTCAACGCTATATAGACCTCGTCTTAATTAAAAAGATAATAAGGAAGTCAATATATAGGTTACAAGAGGTCAATAATTAAAAACACGTACCGTCGAACTTCCAAGGCACTTGTGGAGCTTCGACTGATGCTCTTTTGTCCAACATCAGGAGTTTTCAGCCAGTCATTTCTATTCAGCCATGATTCGAGCAACTTTACTTTTTCTTGTCTTGTTCTTGCTTGTCGCTCTTGGGGATTCTTGCTGTCGAAGGCGTAGAGCACCACCTCCGAAAAGTAAGTACCAGCAATTTCTATTGCGAAAGATTTTATCGATATGTGCGTGAAAGCTAGGAGCCATTTCTGAAGAAACGAACAAAAATACAATGAATAGAAGGAGAAACTAATAAGATTAACAAGTTTAAATGCATGCTCGTTCATCAGTCTTTTTGTCTTTTTGAAGAGAAAGTTATTCTAACTTATTTTTACTTCAAAATTTCACGATTCACTCCAACATTTATAAAACGTTTAATCATTTCATATAAGACCCTACTCACTGCCAAAATAATGCAAGTTATGATTTAAACGTTTCTTTGCTGTAAGTTCACAAGTTTGTCTCGTAAACCAAATACCGACATAATGGAATAGTTTTATTTGTGTAACATAGATACACTCTCAAAGGTTTTTCGCCTGTGCCTTTGCCGTAAAATTAACTTTACCAACGTACTACCAAATTGTTTGCTTAACGATAGGGAAAAGAAAACTGCTTTGCTCAATTTTTTACTTGCGTATTTTGTAGACGCCGAGTATATTTTTTATAGCAGACCTAGCCTATTGCGCAGTAAAAATGAAAGCATGCGCAGATGCATGGGTCCCGTCCTTATCTTTGCAAAAGCAACGCAATGGAATACTGTACGAAAAAAAGTACATATATAAAGAAGAAGCCAATAAAAATGATTTGCAAGAAGATTGGGGAAGAGAAACTAAACCTGCTTTGAGACAACAGCGACAACAACAGTAACAACAGCAACTAAGAAGCTATAAGTGGTTAGTTATTGCGTTGCTTTATGAAACTTTAAATGCCAAACCTAAATGATCAATAGATTCTTGCTCCGCTTAAATCATCTAATTATCAGCGTGCTAAGAGGTCAAGCATGTTTTGCGACACTTTCTGCAAGTTTTGAACTAGTACGTTCATATTTGGTTTTCTTAAGAGCTTCAGTATTACCGGAATAAGTTTTTAAGTGTTTTATTTTTGTGCGATAAACGATCTACAGAATAATCCGGAAATACATTGTCAGGATTCAATTGTTACTCATTTTGCATGATGATAACAAGCAGCTTAACGCCAAAATCTAAAGGTCAGCCAATCAAAAATAGTTAAAGAAATGAACCAATCAAAAAAAAGTAAAAGAAATGAGCCAATCGAAAGCAGTACCAGAAGGGGCATGAGCAAGGTCGTTGACCAATCTGATTATAATTTTTATCCAAACAACTATTGGATATCAGTCATCGTTTGGGAAGATCAAAATATAGCACAGTGGTTATCTTAAGTGATTAAGCACAGCAGAATTTCATCTCAGTCACATCTAATCCATCTCAGTCCAATCTAATCCATCTCAGTCACATCCAATCCATCTCAGTCACATCC